GTAACTACCACTAGAGTAGGGAATTCGTCAGAAATCCATGGTGTTGGACTAACAGAAATTGGCACTTATGTGCTAGCATGCTAGAGGTGTTGCTTAGTGTTGAATGGCAGCAATTGCTACCTACCGTCTTTGTTTCTGTGCCTGTTGCTAACAATCTTCAATGAAAAGAGCACAATTAATATCTATTATTTATCTGTACTGTAAACCTTACTGTACATCTGTCCACATAAATGTCATCTGTCACTTAAGTGTTGGTGAGTTGCCATTTCATTTAAATATTAATTTAGGAGCATGCAGGTTGTGTTCTCTTGTGACCATCTCCCTTTTCTATTGAGCTGGACAGGTCTGATAGAGCTAACCCGTTTTGTGTCACAGCCTTATCATCATGTGGCTTAAACTGGGTTGGGACAGACATTTTCTCTCTGTTTGTCTAGAATGGAGAAACTCCATTTTACTTGTCTGTTGAAGGAGGACATGAAAAATGTGCTGAACTCTTACTGGAAGCAGGGAGTGACATCAATATTTTAACTCAAGTATGTACACAGTATCCCTTCAGCACACTGGTACTGGGACATTCTGGACTGGTATATTCGCTCTGCTTATTTTTATGAAATGGTAAAAAAAAAATAGAATTGGGAATGTAGAGAGTGCTAACAGAATAACAGTGATGTGGAAGAAATACAGCATAGATTTATTTCACAGAATACTGTGGTGGAGCTTTTTTATTTACTCTCTGTCCAATAGTAAAACATATGACTAGGAAATGTAACTAACTAGGATAATTGAAAATCCTTCTTTTTGGCAGCATATATGACTGATGACAAACCTGTTAACCACATCTGGTTCCTGGACTCCAGTCCAGCACACATCTGTTGAATGGCCTTGGCTTGTCTGCCTGTGAGAAGTTTATGATTCCAGCGGGCTGAGACCTTGTTTGTTTTAGCAGATTTAGAATTACTAAATGAAATTTTTCTATTGATTTATTTTTAGAAGTTTGTCAATGTGATTGTACTTGCTTGTTAGAGGTCAAACTGAACTAACAGACTGGGACGCATGTTAGCTTTGTCATTGTCCCCAGTGCAGGGTAGCTGACAATGCTGATTTATCCCTTTCCTAAGGGAGATTGAAAAAGTCTATCAAATACTGGTGGTTTTAGCATGCTTGTTCTCATATAGAAAAAAATGGGAAGTTCCTTCCATATTTACAAAAACACATGACACTAACTGCTAATCCACTTAATTTTATATCATTTTATCAAAGGGTGGGGGTTTTTGGGGGTGGATAATAACACAAATTTAAATAAAAGATTATCTGGTATTGATAACTCTCTAGTGCTGTTTTTCCAGCAACAAAAATTTAAGTTTTTGCTGTCCATACCATTTCTTTCAGAACAAAAGCAGTGCTTTGCAGATTGCAATTCAGAATAGACATCTATCCTTGGTCACTTTTCTTATTGATAAGAATATTGACCTGGTCCCTAAACCTGAGGTGAGTGTATATCAGTATAATTGTTCTACTGTTTTTTGTGTGTCCTGTCTTTTATGGCCTTCCTTGGAGATACAGACAGCTGAATAAGACTGACTAGTTCCTTTTTTTTTTTTTTTTTTTTTTTTTTTTTTTAAATCTACGTATTATTATGTGGTTTATGGATGTTGGTTAGCAATATGTTGTACAAACTTAGTGCCTGGACAGACTGGTGCAGTGCAGTGTAGAAGTGGCCAGGCTAAGCCAAGGACTGAGCACTATGAGAAGATGAGCAAAGTACCCTGCTTGAACTAAGCAGCAGTAATGCAGACATCCCTGTGTGCCACTTCATCTTGTCATGGGCAAAGAGTTAACACCTGTAACTGATTTTGAATAAAGGTAAATAAAAGGTAAATAAACACTTCAGTGCTTTCACCCTCTGCACTCAAAGCATCTGCCTTCAAAATCTGCATGCCACCATTCTTTGGGGTTTTAAAAGAATGAGGTAGGCCTAATATTCAAATCTTGTCTCAATTTAGATATTACAGTTGTTACCTCTGAAATTTCCTGTGCATAGGGAATTATTTTCCACTTCTACAGTACAGGATGTAAATACAATCTGGGCTTCTTGACTTATCTGCCATGATCACTGGCCTGTTACATAATCTTATCAAGAAAGAACAATTTATTATCTACTTGAAATGATTTATTTTAAAGATCGAGCAGTTGTGCTGCTTGCTCTCATTAGCTTTCTGTAGTAGAAGCAAGTCATAAAATTCTAACCTAGGATTTGGAAACATTTCCAGTGCAGCATTGTGTAAGAGCTTGCTTTATTTTTCTGTAGCCCTGAAGAAATGGCTGTGGTTTATAAAGACACTAATGAACTGGCACGAGTGAATGGCACTGCTATGGAATTATTTTTCAGCTGTATTTAACAAGAAACTGATGAGTCACATGTTCAACATGCAAAGTGATCTTGCTGATCTAATGGATTGTGACTGGCGTTGGACCTGCACCCCAGTTACTTTCATGAATAATCACTCAACTAAAAAATCCTTAATTTCTTTATAGCTGTAATTTGCTTTTTATAAATATGACAGCAGGTCAGTTTAGTATGAAGAATATTTCCAGCAGCTATATGTGACAAGTTTATTCCTGGAAAGTAGATTTTGACATCTGTTTACCCAGTACAGACCCAATACAGAACTAATCTGTCTCCAGCCTATTGAACTAAGGGCAAATGCACTTTTCTGAGGGAACAGAAACATTACCCTAACCTGTCTATTGTCAGCCAAGGGTAGCAGCACATCCCAGGTATGAACACATAAGAGGAGTGCCTTGCATGTTCCTACGTGGTGACAAACCGGTATGCACCCTGTACACTCCAACACTTCCAGGTTTCTCAGCTGTATTTGTTTACCTGCTGCTGTAGGCGTTGCAGGAGCAGGTTGCCATCTCTGGCATAACTCCACACCTCAGGGTGCAGTTTTGAACCTCTGCTAGAGCATCTCACCTTTGCAAGGGGCAGATTTTAATAGGAACCTCCTTCTTGTTTGCATGAACTTACAATAATATACCCAAGTTAATAGTTTTTTTATTTTCCCTCCACAGCAGAAGAATTCCCCTCTCCATTTAGCAGTCATCAATAATCATCTACCAGTAGTAAAAAGCCTCTTGGATGCCAATCATGATATAAACTCCTTAAATCATGTAAGAAAAACTGGGAATTAACACAACTTCACTTGTAAAGAGGAGATTATGTGGATTTTGCTTGAAATATTTTTTTTCCTTATGAGCTTAGGGTACAAAGGAATAGGAAGGAAGAGGCAGTTCCCTCTCTATTTTTTGCATGTGTGCATATGTATTAGTCACTGGTACATGCTGTGCTAGTATTGCTTGCGCAAGATAAGGATAGCAAAATGCTATCTACTCAGAAAATATTTGGATTAATTTATTGTTCGAGTGTTACAATTTATGTGTAATAAATGACAGAAATGTCTCAATGTTACTGATCTCAGAGGGAAACCCAGTGCAGAGTGTCACTTGGCTGGGATGGAGTTAGATTTTTTTCATAGCAGCCATGTGGTGGTGTTTTAGCTTTGTGACCACAACCAGCGCTGGTGAGGCACCAGTGTTTCAGCTGTTGCTGAACAGAGTTTGCATAACACTGAGGCCGCCTCTGTTTCACACTCTGACCCTCCAGTGAATACACTGGGGATGTCCAGGGAGCTGGGAGGGGACACAACCAAGCAGATGACCAGAGCTGATGCTCCACCCAACATCACACCATGTGATGAGGTCACAGGTCTCTGTGGTGGAATTGGCTAGTGCATTCGGCTGTTAACTGAATGGTTGGTGGTTCAAGCCCACCCAGGGACGCCGGCATTGTCTGGCCTCTGCTTGGTGCTGGTGGTCTTTAGAGGCCTGGTTGGTTGTTGGCCAGTTTGCTGTAGACCACCACCACTAATCCCCTCAGGCATTGGATACCCTTCTCTGTGGAAGGCCATATGATGCACGCCAATGTATTTACTTTGGTGCTGGCTTGCTTGATCCCTTTTTTGCTGTACAAAACCTCCTGTAATTGTTAATGACCTTTTTCAACTTTTGTTTCGTATCACTTTGTTTTGCTTTGCCTGGGAGACCCATGATAAAAGCACTGGCCTTGAGACTAATCTGGTATTTCTGGGCTGTATGCTGCTGGTATCCAGGTACTTAGAGAACCATCTCATGGAGAAAATCAGCAATTACACCTTTCTCCTTTTCACCTTGGCGAGATGCTTTGTGGAGAATGGACTGAAAGGCACCTACCCCTCCTTCTCCTCCAGGATAGGTCTCTCCCACCTTCTTGTAACAGCCTCTCAGTTCCTTGAATATCCTTGTGTAATCAAACTGTTCATACTAGTGTGTGTCATGAGCCTGATTTTGATTTTTATTCATAATGTCACACAGGAATGTGCCTGGAGGCAGTCGATCCGGGTGGCAGGGTGTGTGGGAGGAGTTGGGCAGGTGCCTGGGGGCTTGTATTGCCTCCAATAGCTTGGGATTTCATGGCTGAACAGGCATGTAGTCCCAGGTAATTAGTACACCCTTTGAAAGAGTGGAGCCTTGCCTGCCTCAATGGAACATGGTGACTTCTAATACTGTGTTGGGGCCTGGCCCATGCCTACTGAGCTGCCATCCAGTGCCCTCAAAAGAGAAAGAGGATCTCCTGATCAGTGAGCACACAAAGGGCCGATGAGGTCTCTTGCTCTGAAGCCACCCATATAGACATTGAAAAGGTCACTCAGTGGCTTAACCAGAGACCCAGCCCTCAAGTATAATAGTTGCTCCTGTACTCAAGAAGAAATAGTGGAAGTGGATGTTGACTTGGTTAGTAAGAGAAGCAGCAGCTCCTGCTGAGGGGTGGAAGGGGCAAGAGTCAGAAGAGGCAGCCTGGCCTGCAGCAGGACAGGAGAGGGAAGAGACAGGAATGACAAAAGAGATGAAAACTACCTAGTCCCCATCTCTGAACATCCTATGAGATAGGTAGCAAGTACTCATCCATCAGCAAGGTGAGCACACTGCTGTCTAGTTGCACCAGTGCTGGGAAGGTAGGGAAACCCAGCAGCTGCGGTCCATCTCTAAGGACTATGAGTTTGACAAAGGGATCAGAAGACAGGCAGCCACCTGCAGGCCTCTGGAGGTGGCTCTTATCAAGTGTGAAGGCAAAGTATCTCCTCCTGGCTTGTAAACCAGCAAGGCAAGTAGACTACCACAGAAGAAGGTATCCAGTGTCTGAGGGAGTTAATGGTGGTGGAGGTGGTCTACAGCAACCCGGCCAACAACCAGGCCTCCAAAGATTCTGATGACATCCAGTGCTTCTGGTTTGTGTGGCAGAAGTTTGTACAGAGCTTGTGGATGTTGTACACTGGCACCCTGGCCATAATGGACTTGGCAGACATTGAGGCACCAACTGTGTATAGACTGGCCTGCGAGCTGCAGCACTTCAAAGAAACTTTCCAGCTGTGGAGACACTGTCCCACCAGGTCTGTTCAGTCCCACATAGGGCATTGTGGCTCCCTGTTGGGGAAACACCCTGGTCTCCTGTGGCAGGTGGGGATGCTCCTCACGATCTTAACAAGGGCTAGTCTTTGAGAAATCTGTAGTTTGCCCCTTCCTATTGATAATTTTATTGCTAAAGATTAATTTATACACATTTCTGAGGGAGGCAGAGGCTGTTGTTTGTGGCTGGAGTCAAGTATGATGATAAGCTCTTCTGTCACATACCATAGAGAATTTCATAAACTTCATGAACACATCCTTGAGAGATGTTTTACACTTTGTCTATAGCATGTCTGAAGTGACATACAATAGCTATATACGTATCTCTAAATTACTGCAGAGAACAAAGTAGGATGTGGTGTTGGGGGAAATTTATGAGGTCATGTGGTTATAGTGTGTATTCCCAAAAAAGCTGAGGAGAGACTAATGTGGAACCCTGAGGCTGGTGTTTCTTGGCGTGTAAGGTCTTGGTGTTTGACTCTGCAACCTTTAAGTTAAGATCTAAAGGCTGGTTTTCTAACCAGACCTACAGAATGTAGACTTGCAACACAGACAAGCATAGGTACAAAACCTTCAACTTAAAAGGATGCTGTGTCACATGAAACATGCTAAAGGACATGTCCAGATATGGAGGACTTCCACAAATAACATATATTATTTGCTGCTGCATTACACCCATAGATGTCTGGAATTTCATATATTCTGTAGAAGGATAGATAAATAAATAGCTATTATTTGGGTACATGCAGCTGTGTGGAGACTACACAACCCTCATTTCAGACCCAAAGATTAGACCTGAAACTCAATGCCCCTTTAGCTGTACTTCTTGTTAATGCTTTAGTTTTGTTTAATGCTTTTTTTTCCCTCCTTTTTCTTGTGCGTGTGTGTTTTAAGGTTCACTGAACTCATTATGCAGCAGGTAGATTTCTGCTACATGTCATCATTTTGTGGCAGGTCTGGCTAACAAACCCTGTTGTGAACTGTGGCACAATGTACTAACGAAAAATATGGATGCTCAGTTGTCTTTGCATGAATTTCAGCAGGGAAAATGTTACTCGAGAGGTATGGGTGGGGGTTGGCAGTTGCATGAAGCTCTCTGTCCAAAACACCTTGTTTTAAGAAGGAAGAGAGCGAGCTTGTTAGGTTACAGTAGTACATTAGAGGGGCATGACAGCAACTTTTTCCTGAGCCAGCTGGAACTCCTGCCTGGTTTTCCTACAGAGATCACAGGTACTGTCTTATTTGCCTGAAACAAAACTGGCAGTTAGATCACTCAAAAGTGAAATGATTTCATTCTGTTCAATGTTCTCTAGCCAAGGCAGTCTCTTGTGAATCTTCTTTTGATTCAGATTGTGAGCACTCTGCTTCTAAGAGGGAGTTTGACTTACTGTATTTATTTGGTGTCATTAATTCCAGAGGCAGGAAACCCCTCTACATCTGGCAGCTGATCTTGGCAATGTGGAGCTGGTGGAAGTGCTGCTGAAGGCAGGCTGCGATCTCAAGACTGTGGATAAGGTAGATTGCATTCCTTACCCATTCAAGGATTATGTGATTTTATTTTGTGTTTTATAACCTTCTTCCCAGACATGCAGGAACTACTTGTTGGCAGTTGTCTTTCCTAGGTAAAGCTGTTAGTTGTTACAAAGGAAGTCTTCTTTTAGTACTGCTGTACTTACTGCTTGCAGAGATCTGAAATGGTTTTAGTGAAAAGCTGTAAAACTTCTAAGCTCTGTAGTTTGAAGGGTAAACCCTGCTGGCAGATATTTCTGATGGAAAAAAGGACTAGGCTTATGGAGCGGAAAACAGCCTGCGGCTGTTGTAACTGTGTACCCACAGCCATATTCATTGCCAGGAGAGGCACAGGTATAGGCGGCTTCACTAAGTGCAGTCATGGTGCATTTGCCCTTTAGCACTGTGGGCCATCTGGAAATGGGTGTGGTGTCCCTGAGAAGCCATCCCAGATACATTCAGGTGGGTGCTTTGACCCTGTTGCTGATGGGCAGCCTGGAAAGACTGAGGCAAGAATGGCAATGGCTGGAAGAAGTACCAAAGCAAAGAAACTGGAGAAGTGCTTTTGAAAGGACAGAGTACCAAATCCAGTTCCTAAAATTTTTGCTAAATTACTTCAAGATTGATCTTCCCCTTTTTATACTGTTACCACTGTATTGAGTTTTTGTATGACTCACTTGACAGATTTGATGTTTATTGTGAGCAAAATCTAGCTCTTTGGTAATTTTAAGAAGTAATTTTCCTGCACAAAACTATCTTGATGAGGACTAATGTTTTACAGACTAGGATCATCTCTTTTTTCCCTATCCTGACATGAGGCTTGGGGCTCTGAGTGTGGATGACACAGTTGATGTGTTTTGGGAGGCTGAGGTAACGTGCTGCATTGCAGTTAAGCCTTCCCATTCAGAATCATGCCTACACTAGCCAGGGAGCTGCAGTTCTCATATGGGCTAACCCAGAATGAAATCTTGTCTGCTTTAGACAGCACCTTAGCCAGTAGAAAATTGTCTCTACCTATTTGTATTCCAAGGGCAGGCACAGAAAATGACTTCTTATTGCCTGCTTTGACATTAAGCACCTGCAAGCCATTGGGCTGAGTAGTGCCCTGGTATTACAGCAGTGTTGACAGAGTTCAGGGCATGTTATGAGAATATGACTCTGAGCCAGCACAAATTCTGTCACCTTTCTGCATTGGTTTTATTTCCTGGAGTAGCTTTTCACTTGCCTGTTTGCTGGATGACCTGAGGCCATGCCACCGCTGAGAACATTTGCAAGTACAGCCCTCTGAACTGAATTGGTGCTGAAATGCCAAAAATGTTCCCGTCCTTACTGAACAGTAGGCAGCAAAAAGGGAATCCTGCTTCGATTGCACATTTTTCCTGGCCTCCATCTCCCAGAAGTAAGACTCCATGCATGTCATGCATTGGCATGAGTTGCAAACTGTTGCTCAGGAAATGGTTTCTCCGGAGTTCTTCCTTCCTGCCTCCCATCTGCAGATATAATTGTAGTTGGTTGTGATGATTGATAGTGCAGACAGTGGTCCCTGTGTGCAGGACTGCTGTGCTACCTGTACACGCAGGACGCCAGCAGTATTTGCACTAGCACAGGAGGCCAGAAACACCCGTTTTTCCACCCCTCCACCTCCTTGTGAAATGCAGAGCATCTTTCCAGATATGTGACCCAAGCAGCTCTTGTGGTCTCTGGACTCTTCACATATAAAGTATGTCCATGCTATAAAAATTTTATGAAATGCAAATGCCTTGGCTTCCAGTGTGATGCTTTCCTAAAGAATGATCTTGAGCAGAGTGAGGAGCTAGAACTCAAACAGTATATATTGGAGAACTTCATAATAGCTGGAGAGTTGAAACACCTTATAATTTAACTACTTAACCTTCTAATTAAAGAGTTGGCTTCTTTTAGGTCTAATTTTCTAGAATGCCTAGCACTTGGTATGTGGAGAATACCCTGAATATTTAAATCTGAGGCAGCTCCACTCAGGGCAAACCTGCTGAAAACACAATTGCAGAGAGAAATGGACAATTGCAGAGAGAACCCTGTAGAGCCCCTGATATGCCTTTACGTCAAAGTGCTGATAGTGGAGATGGGTTCAGGTTGACTGAGCAGCCCTCTGCAGCCATAACTAAAGCAATGGCTTTTAATTCCTTTGTCTGTAAACCATGAAATACCACCTTCAGTTGTGCTCACTTCAGTTGTCATGAGAAAGTCATTCCCACACCCTCTTTACGTTTTGTGAGCCAGCTTCTCTTACTGTCCAAAACAAGACACAGGTTTGCCCTTAAATTTGGAGAGCCATTGCCAGCTTATCGATCTGAAATGCCAGTTTAACCATAACATGGGAATGAACTGTATTTGAGGTAGTTTTCAGGCTGCAGGTGCCTGGGCTTGCATCAAGTTGGAAGCAGCGACTGGAGCGCACAAGATGGTATGAAGTATGCAGCAGTCTCAGTGCAGGAGGCTTCTGAAAGCAGCTGTACCTCACCAGAAACTCTTTAGGGAGTTCAGTGCAGGAAAAAATTGACCACCTTTGGGCTGAGGGCACACAGCTCATGCAAAGCATAGAACTTTGATTGTAGCTACCCTGAAGCCATGAAATTGTAGTAAAACATTTTCTTGAAAAAAAGGGATGGAGCTCTGTAAATGAAGCTCCTGTGTTTCTTCTATGATATACTTATCCTCATATATATGAGATAATCACATCCGGGGCTGCATCAAAAGAAGTGTGACCAGCAGGTTGAGGGAGGTGATCCTGCCCCTCTACTCCACTCTCGTGAGACCCCACCTGGAGTACTGCGTCCAGCTCTGGGGGCCCCAGTACAGGAGAGACATGGAGCTGTTGGAGTGAGTCCAGAGGAGGGCCACGAAGATGCTCAAAGGGCTGGAGCTGAGAGAGTTGGGGTGGTTCTGCATGGAGAAGGCTCCAGGGACACCTAATTGCAGTCTTCCAGTACCTGAAGGGGGTCTACAGAAAAGCTGGAGAGGGACTGTTCACCATGGCATGGTGTTCAAGGCCAGGTTGGATGGGGCTTTGGGCAATCTGGTCTAGTGGAGGGTGTCCCTGCCCATGGCAGGGGGGTTGGAACTAGATGATCTTTGAGGTCCCTTCCAACCCAAACCATTCTATGATTCTATGAATGTTCTGATTCACTATCTCTGCTTTCAGCATGGAAAAACTGCACTAGCTGTAGCATCAAGGAGCAATCACGCCCTCATTGTAGATATGATCATTAAAGCAGAAAGGTATTATGCCACGAAACAGGTAAGAGATATCTTTCATTACACTGAAAAGAACTATAAGGGAAAAGCCGATTCTGATCTTGAAGCGCCTTTTGCCTGAGGTGGTTCCTTTTGGCAGGTCGCAAGACTGGCCTTGATAAATTGAGGTTAGAATTGGAAACAGGAAGGTCTCTACTCCATCCAGGTTTTATTCCTGACTAGCTATAAAATTATAGACAGATCTTATAGTTTTCTTGCATCATGCCCTACACACAGAGATGAAGGGGTGGAGAGAGATTCTGACCCAAATTCAAACTGTGCCATCAGCATCAGGACTGGGACGACCTGAATCCACATTGATCCCCCTGTCCTTTGGTACAGCAAAATCTGTGGTTGAAAAAATGGAGGGGTGCAGGTGACTGCCACTCCTTTGCTACTAAGGGCTTAGCTGCTTTGGCAGGAGCTCCCTCTTCTGTTTTATGTGTGTTAATTATAAAACACAATCAATGAAATGCAAAAGAACCAGGCAATAAGTGTGAAGGATGTGGGTTAGATTGACCTCAGATTGTCTGAATTTCTTACCTTTTTTCCCTAGTTACTATTTAAACATAGGCTGCTTACTGATGGCCCTCCCTAAAGGAGTAAGAGTCAGATGTATTCAAATGTATATGACAATTATTTTGGCCTGCATTGACTATCCCACATCACTCATGAATATGTATACACTCTATAGGCGGTAAGTGTCTGAACAAGAAAAGCTAAGCTTAGTACTTAAAATCAAAGGAGTATTTGGAGCTGGGCTGCTGGTGAGGCCCATGTGCCTAGTGATGTGCCTTGAAACTCAGACCCAGCCCAAATGGGTCTTGAAAAATTCAAGACATCTCATGTCACGGGGTCTTAATGGGACCATTTAGTTCTGAGAAAGTTTATTCAGTCAATGACAGTTGTAGCAATGAGCCATGAAGAACCTGCTATACCTACACACTTGATGAAAGGGAGGTATTTCACAGGATGGTGAAGGTTCATTTTAGGGCCTATTAATGCTCCATAAATCAGTCTTGTATTGGCTTACTCAGTTTTTCTTGTTTGGAGCCATAGGTTTATGTGGGCTCCCTGAGAATTGATTCAATTTGCTGGGTTTTGACACAATACAGTTTAAAATCCCCATCTCTCAAATACACTGTTTGTTTGTAACCTGGTCCTAGTGAGGCAGTAAAAGACATCTCTTGTAGCATCCACCATAAAACCTGCAAGAAGGAAGATGCTAACACAATCTATTTATGTAGAGCAAGTAATTCTGTGAGCACCAGAGCTAGCAAACCAGGGCAAAAGGATGGGTGAAATGAATTCATTTGATTGTCAGCTCTCGCACTTTCATTGCTGAGCTGCCATGCAAATCTATAACTTCCTTCTCATTACTGCTGGGAAATGTTTATTTTACTAGGTTTGCCAAGTGCGTCCTGGAGCAGTATAAGCATACTGACCCTGCCTGAGTGCAGGGACATCAATTAGCCGGTCTTATACCATTCCACTCCAGACCTAAGTGTCCAAATCCCTGACACTTAATGTTGCAGGGCATTGTGCTGGTAAATCACAGATCTAGATTAATTATCATGAAAAACACCTCCATGAACTCCCTGTGTTGTGCATATTTATCTGCATCAGTTCAGCTGGAGTTGTCATGTATGTTATTGTTTCTTTTGGCTTAAAGGGGAATTAGAAGTGAAGTCATCTGTTGCCAGAGAAGGCATGACAAGTCTGACAGCTGTGAGCCCATAATGCTCCTAACCTTTCGGCACTGTTTACTGAATTGCCTGAGAAGAAGAGGAGATGTTTAAGCAGATGGTTTTCTGCAAGAGCTCCACAAATGTTGGGATAGAGAAACAGAAGTATTTGCATCCCATTACCTGAAGCTAAGAGCACAGCCTTTGGGAGCAGCTTAGATCTTACAGTTATGAAATATGCTGTTCTTCCGGTGGTGTTACCATATAGGAAATGGAAGCATTTTGAACCATTATTTTAAGAACTCTTTTTGTTACATTGAGCTTACTTATCATCTGTGCCCAGGCGTTAATTACAAAAGGAAATTTCATGTTACTGTGAGAATGTGCACATGATACTAATGTGTGTGAGAGTGTCGTCTTCTCCATTTACCCTTTTTATATTTACTGCTTCTATCTAACCTTTCCCTGTCAATGCCCAGGCTGTCAATGATGGGATTCGAGGGCTGCTGTTACTGTCCCACCCTGCTATTGCCTAGACACACAACTAGCAGCAAAGAGAAGCTGTGCTGCTGCAAAGGGAGGAGAAAAATGTTTGTTTGTTTGTGAGGGGTTTTTGGGGTTTTGTTTTGTTTTTTTTAAACCTCTGAAGAGAAACACTGAACTGGGGAGAGCCTGAAGCTGTCCTGTAGAATGTCCTAAATGTCACCAGGTGGTGTCAGGAAGCATGAAATAAAGTCTGCACAAGAAAAATGGAATCAAACATACATGACAATGCTTGTTTATTGAACTAAGATTATTTTTTTTTTCTTGCAAGACCCTCATAAGGTTAGGAAATAACTCTGGTTTATTTTTTGGAATTTAATCTGGAATGGAGTATTTTATGCTCAGCACTTTTCAAATGCTGCCATTTCCTTTTCTTGCTTAGTATCTACTTTGTAATCTTGTGTCAACTTCCTGAAGACATTTTTCACTTAAGACACTGACTTGAAACAGGACTAGCACGTAAACAAAATGAAATATCAAAGTCATGTGAGCCTACCTACACTAGTAGTGAGGCTTTTCCCTGGGCGCTGCCCAGCTAGGGCTGAAATCACTGCTAGAAGAGTTTTGCAGAGGTGCCAAACAAGAAGCAACCCCATCACTCCTGTTTCAGATGAGCCATTCACATGGTGGCAACATCACTTTTAATCTGGAGGGTAAAATACTTGTGGTTTTGGTATCTATCTGGTTTTGCAGATGCAGGCAATAAAACTAGATCCAGGTGCAACGTGCATGTGCTTATTCGTCCTTAGACACTTTGCTGAACGAGGCTCTGCGTGCTAAACCCAATGGCTTGTCCTGCCACCACACGACCTGGTAGTCCCCGCTTCAGCCAAGCTGAGCTGATAGGGCACAGGCAGGAACAACTTGAGCAGCTGCCACACCAGTGGTGCCTAGCCTCTTCTCAGGGAGAGGTTAGCACTTCGAGAAGCAAGAGGAGAGGAAGAACTGTGGTTGAAACTGTGGTGTTCAAAATGTGACATATGAAGCAGAGCCAAGGAGCACACCAGTGCTGGTGTAGTACTTGCCCTTACTTCCTAGTGTGTATCAAGCGCCAGAGAAAGTGGTTTATTTTGCATTTAACTTAGTAAGATATAGCAGTAGACACAGGGGGACTTCATTTTTGTTCTGTTATTAAGACAGTAATAACATCATCCATGCTCAGACATCTTCCAAAGAGCTCTACCAGCCAGAGTTCCTTTACCTGCACTGAGCAAATCCTGTCAGTAGCTACACACGGCTGTACAGGACACAGTGTTCACTGCTTGCTATGCAAAGGTTCCCAGCTTCATTACAAAATTTATCACCTGCTTTCTTTTTCAGGAACATCTAGCTCATAGTGACGATAGGTCAGATTTCAGCTTGTCCTTCAAACAAGATCATAGTACACAGACCAAGCAAATTCGTTCATCCCTGTGGAATCTAGCATACAACCAGCTAAAACCCCAGGAATGGAAAAAACTGGCCCTGTTCTGGAAGTTCACAGATGAACAAATTAAAGCTATTGAAGAACAATGGACAGGTAACAATATCTGAATGGCTAGACATAATATATAAGCTATAAAAAACACAAGGCAGAGTTGCTTTTAAACTATGTGAGTATCACAGATATGCACTGGCCATAATGCTCTTATTTAAATTATGAAAAAGAGTGGATACAAGCCTTGTCCCTGGTTCCTGGGAAATGATGCTGTAGAAGTACAGGCCACTTCTGTTCCCCCTCTTGGCCTGAAGGAACCTTCATCTTTAGAAATCAAAAATAGCAGCAGCGAGCAGTGTGGAAGGGTCTTGCAGGTCATGCTGCAAGTGAGGACCTGGGGAGCCCCGTGACACATGAAGACCTTGTTCGCACTCTGTCTTCACAGCTGCCATGAAACAGCAGTTTCTGGTTTCAGGCATCTCAAGTGCTGGGAAAGCAATATTTCTATAGCATGCATTGTACTTGTTTACTACTAATCCAGGGTATATTTCCACATGTTGAGCAAAAATTAAAGGAAAAAATTAATTTTAAGATACATTAGCTTCTCCCCTTTACAGTAGCCTTAGTATAAAACTAGAATTTTGTTTTGCTTTTTTTTTTCTTTTTTAACCTTTTTAAGTCTCAGTCTTCATTTTGCTTCTAGGTGAGAAAACAAATAAGAGTAAAAGAGTATGTTTTAAAACCTCTTGGAACTCTAGAAGTGCAAAAGCACAAAATACAGTTTCCAGCACGTAGAACAGATAAATGCTTTGTGTATTGCATAGGGAAAAAAAGTTATAAGGAACACGGAAACAGGATGTTGCTCATCTGGTTACACGGCATATTGCTGGCTCATCAGAACCCTGTCAAGCATATGTATGAAAATCTGGTGGAAGCAGGATTTCAGCCTTTAGCTGGTAAGTTGTGTTGTGGTGTACAGAGCTGGAGGACACTCTCTTCCTTTCTGGGAATGTGCCCTTGCCGGGGGGTGAGGTTGCTTGAGGAAGGGAGTTTAAGTGAGACTTGAGATTTCTAAAGGAAGATAAAAATGTGCAAACTTTGCTTCCCTCCTTTGTCCTGCAAACACGGTTAAAATATGATTTGCCATCCTTCAGTTAGATTAGTCTGACCCTTATAAAAAGTAGAGCATGTCAAGCAAGCTTTTTCTCTTCTTGCTTTACAGAGAAGATCAGAGCTGCAAGTGACACTGACATGGACTCCAGAAAATGTGCCATTTCATGAGTTCATTAATAAAACCTGGCAGTTTTATATAAATATAT